TTCAGACCATTGTAACTTCATTCAGAGTGGACACACTAATGTAATAATAATTGTAATAATTGTGAAATAATAAAAGTTAAAGTAAAGTTTCCTGAAGCAGCATCTTCTCTCAATCGTCTGTGATACATTCAGGTGACGACATAGAAACCAGGACAAAGATAATTAATGAAACTATAATACTAATATTTAATGATGTTTAATCTGATGTGGGTCCAGTGTTCACCTGTTGACTACCTGCTGGTGCGTTTAAGTGCTCAAGACTAGCATGGGTAAGAGGACAGACTGAACACAGGACTGCTGCACAGAGAGACTGGACCACATCAATCCATTATAAAAGCAGATTGACACACTGATCCATAACCTCCAGCTCATCACTGACTTTATTTCTGTTACAGCGTCTGATTGAAACATCGATTACTTCTGTCTGCTGGAACTTTATTGTGTTTGATGGTCAACAGTCTGTCACACATGACTCAACTACATTAGCTATGCATGATCAAACAGCCAATAATATGCAGCCCATTAGATCCAGACACTGATGGTCAGCAGGGTTTACAAAAAGTCCAGGATCCAAAGGACTACATTCACATTCAGTTCACTACAGGAAGTCATGTGTCCCGTCACACAGAGAGCTGCAGATAATGTTCATCAGCGACGGCCTCCGAGCTGCAAACAAACAAACAAACAAACAAACAAACATACAGACGTCTTTAACAGCAGCATTCACCTCCGCACGGTTCCTGTTACGTTCACCTGAAAACAGTTTCACCTTTAACAAGGTGTGGATACCTGGATATATTATATTATTATGTATATTATGTTATTATATATATTATTATTATATATTATGTTATTATATATATCATTATTATATATTATGTTATATATATATTATATTATATTATTATATATATTATCCATCTAACTCTGACGGGATGTTTCAGGTGCTTAAAGACAATGTTTGAATCTCATTAGCTTCCTAACCTTCGCGCTACCTTCTTTTGCGTAACTCTGTCCCCAGTAAAGACATCCTGTATAAAAACATATGTTGTGACTCTTCATGTTGTACAGATTAAGGACCCCCCTCCCCATGGTGCTGGTTTAGGTAAACCTCCTACAGAGTTTGTCTTCCTGATGGCACTCAAGTGTCTGTCAGCAGCTGCTCTTCTTGTCTCCTGCAGATTATCAGGACGTCCCGGCTCAAACACACAGGTGGTGTCCTGCTCTCAATCTGTCCTCAAACAGCTTTCCAGCTCCCGTTCAGAGACCGCGCAGGAGGAAACATCTGTCCACTGATTGCTTTTTTGTAAGACTGATTAACAACATAAACCCTCTGCTGCCAATCCTCCACCTTGTCTGAGTACTTTGTGTAACGTCTGCAGATCAAAGTAAATCCTTCATCCTCAATCCACTGCTCTCAGATCAGCCTGTACCGAGGTGAAGCACTGCAGTGGGACTGGGAGGTGTCCCCGACTGAGACAGCCCCCCCACCCCCCGAGAGACACATATACACATTTATATTTACTGTGTTTATACAATGTGTGTGTATAGATACAGAATATATACAGTATATATGTATCACTCACTGGAGACTCA